TTATTCAGTTTGAGACTAAAACAATCGAAAAATTAACTATCAAAACGTTGGCGAAATATCGTCTTTAATTATTATTTCAATATTGTTCTATGATATTTTCTCAGACTATTGACATAAGTGTATTTACTTACACTGTTTTGATTAAGTACAAACAAACTACCGTAATTGACCTAGTTACTTTTATGGTCAAATAAAACTCATTAGTGATCTTCTCGTTCAAATATAAAGCCCTTACGTAGATAAACACTCAGATGGTTTCCGAATAATCATTATATGATTTATTTGACGTAGCTTTCGTAAATCTATCTTTAATAGCTCTATAAAGCTCGATTGGCTTTGATAAGATTTACAACGGAAAATGTTTCATCGGTAACTTTTCTCGGTTGATAAAAGAGGAAAAAATAGATGATATTGTTGTTTTTGTTTTTAAAAGAGATCAAAGGTGTCGTGTGTGAGAATGAATCAAATGACAATTACAATCTTTACATTCGATTAATTGTGTCAGAAAAATTAACTTCTTCTTGAGAAAAAAACACTATTTTATGTATATAATTGACAAAAATAGAAATACACAAAAAGGAAATAAAATTGGATTCACTGCATATTATCAGAGTTCTCAAAGGTGCATAATGAAATATCATTTTTCAAGACATATTATAATGGTCGAGGTGAAAATATTTGCTTCTGTCGGAAAAACGAAAGGCAATTCTTTAGGATACATACAGCTCGGATTATAAATGGAGTATTTAAAAGACACATTTCTATCTTCTAATCTGATAGATTACGGTGAAATAATTCAGATGAATCATTAAGTATACCGAGAGAAACTATTTAATAATCGTTTAATTATATATAGCTTTATGTTCTTTATGTCAGGCATGCATCGATTGAAACTTCCTTAGATTCAACTATTCTTGGTAGAACAGGCACCAGATAGATAACTTCGGAGGGATGTTGCATCTTGTTTTGAGATGGAAAATTTATGGTGTCTCGCGAAACCCAACAAAAGTTTTCAATGATGTTGAAGAAAAATAAAATTTTTGTTCCTGAGTGGTATGTGGCACCTATGTTCGAACCAGTTCGGAACAAAAATAATTATTCTTTTGTCTGTTCACAGAGAATCTCAACGAAAGAATGCTATATGTATTCACTTGGAAAAAAAATAGTTAGACTCGATATTTTTAACATCTTATTGCTATAAATTAAGATTTTTACACAAATAATTACACATTCTGATAGCACGCAGGATTTTTTTCAACTGTATACGTTCTTGTTTCAAATTGTATGTGTTCACTAAAATAGGAACTTAAGCACAACAATGACATTCTTATCGTTAGACTCTCCGAAAATGCAATTTTTGCTTCTTTTTTTCTTTCTATTTTTTAATTTATTTTAATAAAGAATCAAGTTTTTACTAAAGTAAATTTATGTACTGAAAGCGTATGAAATTCTTTATCATTTTGTATTTTTGTCATCATTATGCATACATTTTATTTAATTCCTAGATAATCATTCGCGAACTACTGTATGAATTATGTGGAGAGTAGCCGAGCGTGATAATGTCACAGTCAAAAATTCATTAACAATTTTCGAAATATTTATCATTAAAACATTGAAATTCAAGATTATCATAAGTACAGAATGGTAAAAAAATTCACATGCTTTCAGAATATATAATCACTTTCGGAAAAATCGATCTTATATTAAAAAAAAAAAAATTTGAAAGAGAAGTAAAAAAGAAACATAAAATGTATTTCCAGAAAATCTGACCATGAGAGTGCCTTCACTGTACTTGGATTTCTATGTCAGTGAACAAGTGTAATTCAAAATGTATATACATAAGATTGTCGACAATAGTGCTGCGCGCTATCAGAATATATAATCAATTGCCTCAAAAATATTGTTTTATAGTATTGATATGCTAAAAATATCGATTCTAACTATTTTTTTCCACAAAATGACATAGTTGTAAAAAATTCTGCGCGTTGTTAGAATATATAATTACTTTTTTTAAGAATATTCATTTATATTATTTATATATTAAAAAATACTTAGTCTTAGTATTTTTCCCAAGAGACTATAGTAATCAAGTTATGAGAAAATATTTTCATTCCATACTATTTATTTTGTTAGCAAAGAACTACTTGATATATTCAAGTGATTCAGGCAATAGTATGAATAAAATTTTTGTTAAAGATCAATTAAGATAAAGAGAAGATACTTAAGATTTATTTTGATTTTGATAAACACATCCGACTTTCAATGATGCCATAGACATGCATTAAAATGTGCCACTTGGTTTTATTATATATGCATAGCTGTAAAGAACTATGACGTCATAACATCAACATCATTCATAACTTTTTTTTTTTTTGTCAATAATGACGTCGTATTTATAGCTGTTCACTGTATAAAACAAGAAGAATGATGCTATTACAATCAAGAAGAACTGATTAGTTGTATCCAGGTGAACATGATAAGGGTCCAAACAATATGTAGCCATCACAATAGATAAACGGAAGAAATGTTTGATTAAAAACCAAAAAAACGTTAAAACAATTTAAGGCTAATAAGCTTTTAACATGTTTTCTATGTTTAAACACTCAGAGTTGTTGAAACTTTCACAGTTTTAATGTATTTTTTGCGATAATTAACTGTTTTTAATGATTTGAATCATGTTAATGAAAATGCTTGATAAAAATTAACAAACATTTCATGTAGAAAATGAATTAATGAATGTATCAGGTATCAAAGAAGTCTTTACCGCTAAGTATTTTTTTCCCAAAAGTTCAGTATTGATTAACCTTTACCAATTGACTGACTTTATTGTATGGCAAGTAGCACCATCAAGTCTTTGTTTCGAAGAACAAACTATAAAAATGCTCTTCAAAATAATTACTTTTATTTGAAAAACAAAAAAACTTTCCATTTTTCTCTAGTTCCTAATAAAGTTTCGCAGCGTTTCATTTTCAATTGCTCGAATTTTTACTTGATTCTATTGATTTCTTTTTGTATGAGGATACATCAAAACTAAGCTCTATAAAAAGGCTGTTCGAGATTTGAACAATGTCAAGATCAGAATAATGGGAGAAATCGAAGTCATAAAAAAGAAACGTTGCGAAATGTTATTATGAAACTAGAAACAAATGCTAAATTTTTATTTCTCAGATAAAGATAATTATCCTAAAGGGCACTTATTATACTTTGTCGATAGAAATAAGATCTTGATGATGCTACCTATCATATAAAACAGTCAGTCAATTAATAAAAGTCAATAAATAGCGAACGTATGGGTGTAGACACTGTTGAGCACGTGTACTTTTGGGATATCGTGTGTATTTGTCGATTTATCGTTTACATGAAATGTTCGTTAGTTGTTACCAAGTCTCTTCATCAAAACAATTCAAGTCATTGAAAACGTCTGATGGGTCGCCAAAAATGCATTAAAACAGTAAAAGTTCCAGCCATTCTGAGCGTTTAACTATATAAAACGTGTTAAAAAATTATTAAACATAAAATATGTTAACGCTTTTTCTGATAACTAACCAAACATTTTTTACAGTTTATCTATTCAGATATGTAAATGATGTTTTGATCATCATCATGAGTACTTGAGAAAAAGGTCAACCAATAATGAAGTTATGTGAAAAAGACACTTTCTGGTAGGAACTTTTGAGGTACCCTATAAATATTCCATGTTGACTGCCTTAAAATAATTATTTCATCAAAACTTATGAAAATTCTCAGAAAAAGATTGCTTTCTTAGACCATCTACTTCTCTCTATCCTTTTTCTTTTTTTCACTTTCAATGTTCTATCTTTTCAAGAACCCTGAGTATTATTTTCTTGTTTCTCAAATAGTGTATTACTAAATTTTAAAGGTCATTTACAATGTCTAGTCTTTGTATAATAAGAAACGCATATATCATATTTGAAATAAGTTGCGAGTTAAATTGTTGGACAAATATATCTTTAAATATTACGATCAATCCAGAACTCAGTTAAGGAAATAGCGAATCAGTTACTATCTAACAATTGGCAAATGCTTAGAAAATTATCACAATTACTCACAAGTGTTCTACTCGATTGACAGCACTACATTTATCCTTATCTCCATGCGTTCAAACTATGAAAATTTTGAAAGAGAATGCAATCAAAAACAATAACAGTATTCTATGAGAAGTAAGAAGTGTTGCAAGGTTCGAGCTTATTCTGCAAACGACAGTGTCATCTTTTCAAAACTGTTTTTACTTGCATTCCTCTTGAGTGATGAATTTCTAAGTGGTTTATTCATCTGCCATGGATCTAAAATTAATCTTATGATCAGTTGAAACTCTAATTATCTCAAAAAAACTTATCTTATAAGTGTACTCGTAGTGAACTTTCTACATCGAACATTCTGAATGAAAAACATTTATAGGAATACTGTTATTCAAATTCTTGAGAAATGATACAGACGTTTGTATTTTTCACTATCTAACATATAGTAATCACCGTAACCGGGTCAACATCAGAACCTTTTGAAAAAGCTCACCATTACTAACGATACACTAAATACCTTTGTCTTTCTCTCATTTTGAGAGATTGTCTTTGCGAAAGCCATTTATCTGAATTGGGTATTTTGATTTTTATGCACACAATAAGAATGTACATTACATATACTGAATCGTACATTGATGTTTAGCATACGTTAAAAGTTAAGCCAAAAGCTAACCCAGCTCACTCCTACTCTATAAATAAGATAGATAAGAAATGAACACATGAAAAACAAAGAGCAAGCTAGTAACATAAGGAAAGAGAAAAAAGAGTGCTCTACTTTTTTCTTTTCTGTGTGTTAGATGGCAAAAAAAGATAGAGCAATAGAAAACTTGTTTTGAATACAGAAATATGATGAATTATGTTTCTATCTGACGAAGAGAAAAAGAGATAAAATAAGAAGTGTACTAAATAAATTGATGTTAGCAAGATGATATTATAATGTTCTTTAAAAACAAGTGTATCTAGTATCTATTGCCGGTAGTCTGATTCAGAAAAAGTATTCATTATGAGATGTATTGCAAGTGTCTCTGTGCTTAACATGTCAGTTTGTGGTAATCTAACTGCAGTAAATGACAGAAAAGTTTGTCTTACATTCACATCAAATATTAGCAAAGAATGATATTTGTTTTTATGATTTGTCGTATCACTGAAATATTTTTGAGAAGATACGGTGATAATAGACTGAAAACCATAATAGAAACTCATTATGAGGAGTGTTCTCACTTAATTTTTTAGAAATCTTCTTACTATGACCTCGATTACTAATAGTAGAAAATGTTTTTCTCGTCTAAAATTTATACAAATTAACAATAATTAGTGCAGATATTTGTTTTTTATTTTTCATTAGTAAGACATATACATAGAAACACTTACTACTGACGAAAAAAAGTTGAAATGATGACTTATTAATTATCATTACATAATGTGGATTTATTCAATCATGTATAGGTACTGTAGAATACTTAAACTAAACACTTACTAATCTCTAGTAACAAGTTAGTACTAAGAACTGCCGACGACGAGCAACTGATAATTGATACTAGCACCACTTACTGAAAACATAACAATTATATAATGTTTATTTTATAACTTATTTTCTGATAATAAAAGCCAAAAAACAGAGATATTGTTTAAACATGTTTTTTTTCCCAAAAAAAAGCAGAGAATTACTGTATTTTTAATAATTTCAATTAGAGTCGTGGAAGATAAACTTTGAAAAAGTGTTTAAAGATCAAACTTCGTCGACAAATATGTTTACTTATGTTTAAACACTTTTCTCAGCATTTATTCTCTGTTTAAGTAAGAGTACTGTGGTACAATATTCAATACAGAATAAGAGAATTTATTAAAGAAATATGACAAATGGTAATCGATAAAAAAAAAAAAAAGAAGAACAAAAAATCATTCATTGTCAAGTAGTTTCTTAGTATTGCCAAGGCGAATTTTTAAGTCACTGATTAATTGGTCATTGCTTGATTGACCATTAAGTTCAATTATATCTGCTGCTTTTTCATAGTTTTCTATCGCTCTTTTATAATCACCTAGATAAAAATAACTTTTTCCAATAGCATCATAAAGAGGAGCAAGATCAGTATGTATAGGTGGTAAATAACTTAAGCTAACATCAAGTGCCTGTCGATATTGTTCTAATGCTTTGATATAGTCACCTATAATCATATAATTAGCACCAAGACCATTATGTACACGTACAAGACGACGTGGTTGACTACGAACTGAAGCATCTTGTAACATTTCAATAAAGAATTGTTCAGCATGTGCGTATTCACCCATTTCCATGAATAATTTGCCTGCATATGATAATGGATTAGCATGTATTTCACTGCTTCGTAACGGCGCTACAAGACGAAGTAGTTGTTGATCATCATCAGCAACTAAACTTAATTTCACGGTCCATATAGTAATTGTTAAATTGTCAGTAAATTCTTTAATAGAATTAATACGAAAGACAGTACTCAAGCTAAATAAAATACCGTTTCTTTCAATTTGTTCATCAACATGAATTTTATCAAGTGCAGCAAATGGACTTCTTGTACTACGTATCGTCGAATTAAGATGTATTTCAAAAAGAACAGCAGTTGCATTCGGAAAAGCAGTAAGACGACGACGAATAAAATTAAGACTAATTTCCTTATCAGTGTGAGCTATAAAGAAATTGTTAAATGAGAGTAGACCGCCACAATTATTTTTTATTAAAGCAACAAACTTATCGTTAAACATCGTTTTACCACGATAGACAATTAATAAATTTTCTGATAGAAATGAATTATTTTCTTGAAAAATAGTAAGTTGTGTATGTGCATGTTTAAGAAGAAAACCTAATTTGTAAATAATATCAATCTCAAATGTACGCTGTATACGTTGTAGAATACGCCAAACAAAACATTGCCGTGTCAACCACCAAAGTGCTTTTTGTGGTCGATAATTTTTTTCAAAATGATCAATTATAGATAATTGTTCGTAATTATTTGCATAATGTAATCGACAAAAATTAATAAATTCATTTTTAGCATTATTTTCAAATTTTAATCGATATAGAATTTCTCTCATTAATTGTGTATAAAGAAATAATGCTTCTTGTTTTTTCGCATCGTTAGATATAATATCATTAGATGATAATGAAGATGACGCCGTAATAATTAAAAGATCAAGTTCACACAATTCAACATCTGTCTCTAATTGTTGACAAAGACTATCAATATCATAGAACATATTTGATGACATAGGAACATCTATAGTGTAATCAATTTCACGAAAAAATGGATGAAGAACGTAAATTTTTTCAATTTGAGATAAATTTTGTATTGATTCCAGACATGTTTCAATAGAAGGTACAATGAGAAATATTCTTTCGACTCGAATGTTCATAATATAAGTAATACATTCATCGTGATCGGTGAAAATTTTTACGGTTGAAACAACATGACGTAATTTAGCTTTTTCAACCACAACATTTATGGAAGAATCATTTAAAAACCAAACAATAATACAATCTTCTACAATACGATTGGATTGTTCATTAGATAATGAATTAGATGGAACAAATTTTGAACAAGAATCTTGTTCAATAGATTGATTAGATATTGTATCAATTTTCGATTGTGAGCAGCCCATTTTAGAATATTAAACCTTAAATATATTATATTTATGATTGAATATTTTATATTCGTATATATTTTTAAGAAAGACACAGTTTTTTAGACTTATTCTATTATATCTATTTTATTGTTTTGTTTCGGTGATTGACAAATCAGAATTACATGTCATAAATAATGTCATCTCTTTTATTGAGAGAAAACTGAAAAGAAAAAGTTGTGAATGCAACTCTCAGCGGATTTATTCCGTCTTTTAAAGAACACATTTCATCGTCCTTTTACTTAATCTTCTAGAAACATCGTGAGGAAATAGTTGATATATTATAATGAAACATTGTTAACATTCAGTCTGTGATCGTATATCAACATCTATTACGGTCTATGGGCAGAGAGCGAGAGCTCTTGACTTTTAACCTTATAGTGTAACATTCCTTTGAAGTCTGGTTTCATAAAACAATTTCATTGTGAGACAGTTAAGTTGACAGTTTTACTTTTATAGAATCATTGTCACTTGAAGAACGTTTTTTGCCATAATAGAAGAAAATTTCTCTATTGTTCTCTTAAAACTAATATGATTGATGTGAAAAAAAAAATGTCAGTATTTTTTAACAAAAATGTTATGAGCAATTGTGTTTTCTAAGTTGTCATTTTCAAGAAACTTCTCATAAAATAAAAGAGATTGAATATATAATTGAAATAAATTAATTTTTCTTACCTGCAATTCGTGAAAAAAAAATATATTATATGAAAAAAATGCATCAGTTCAAATATTATTATTAACCTATAATGGAAACATACGAAGACAGATAATATTTAAATAATGTTTATTTATTTTTCTATAATATTCTACGCTTTTTCTTTAAGCTTTCAATATTGAAAACAAAATGAAAACCTTTCTTAGTCAAAGCATAAAATCGATTTGAAAATATTTAACCATAAATCCGTGAATAGAAGTCTAAATCTTGATTAATCAGAATTTTTTGATTCTATGTATCTACCACGGACAAAATTAACTCAACACGTATTTTTGATAGATATTTTCATTAATGGTCAACCACGAAAAATACAAGTTTTTCAAAAATTTTTTTTTGTCTTTAGAACTTTGTACAGCTCGTTTCGTTGATCATTTTGGTAAAAAAACATTCAAATTTACTCAATAAATAGTGGCATTAGAGACAAAATACTCAAAATTTAGGACTGTTCGTGACCACTGCTTAGTAGTAGGTGATATTTTTGAGTATTCTGAGCAAAGGTTCGTTATTTGTCTAGTAAATTCGAATATAATTTTACCAAAATGATCAGCGAAACGAGCTCTACAAAGTTCTATAGACGAAAAAAAAATTTCTGAAAAACTTGTATTTTTCGTGGTTGACCATTAATGAAAATATCTATCAAAAATACGTGTTAAGTTAATTTTGTCTGTGATAGTATATATAATTTCAGAAATTTTATCAACGTAAAATAACAAATCTCGGTGTTTTCTTTTGTCTTAATATAGGGTTTTGATTGATTATGGATATATAATTAACAATCATGTTTTCTATAATAAAAATAACTGAAGTTAGTCTATACTTACATATCATATTTTATTATTCTCTTTTTTCTCACATGATAATTATAATATTACTTACAATCCGAATAAATTCATCTGCTTGTAAATAGTCTTGTTAAAAAAACGATCTAGCATTTTAAAAATAACAAATATCTACCCTGTAAGCTTCTATGATAAAGGTATATAGATAGATTGAATTTATGTCTATTTATATTATACTTTTCGTATGGTTTGCTACAGCAAGTATAATGTCATACTGAATTCTATCATTTTCTTATGTTTTTTTTTGTATACATATTCACGCTTATAATTGGATATAAAACTTTATTTGAATCTTGTATTTTTCTAATTTATTATCATTGAAACCTTTTCATTTGTACCTATAGCTCTCAGCCAATTATTGTTTCTGCTTGTTCTATCACTTGTTTTACTTACTAGACAGACGAAAAAGAAAATTCTCTGAGTATTTTTGACTAATGTTCTGCACAATAGACAATGTCCTAGAGAAAAAGAGGATATATTTATATTTATTGATGTTATTTACTTTGGATTCTATTATATTAGGATCAAATCGGAACGGAATTTTATATGCATTCTTATTGCTAGTAATCTTTACAGCTTACTATAAAAATCTTGACAGAAAAATTATAATAAAAAACACAGCACTAAACATAGAGACAGCAGAGTAGGCCTATTATATATATTAAAATATAATAGAATACCTTATAATTACAATAGACTGTTCGATCTTTGATGTTAACATTATTGTTCTTTTCTTTTTGCTTAAATGAATGAATTCATATTATAACTCTAGGTATCTAATTCTTAAGAGCTTACTTTTTAATATTGTGTGTGTATTATTCTCAAAGATAAAAATATATTTCTGAATTGTTTCCAAAAATTTTTCCTAATATACTATGTTATTTTATATTCATATATTCTGAATTAGTTTGTACTATTTATCTATCGTAATTAGAAGCATGCTGAATCAATATTATTTTTCTTTGAATGCATCCAATAGTTTTCTTTTGGTGAATATACACTTGTCTTAGTATTTCATCTTTACATTATTTGATAAGAATAACAAAAAAATAAATGATGAAGATCAATTTGACATATGCAAATATATCTTCTGAATCATAGTGTTCAAGATAATATGCAAGAAAAAGAATTGTGAATATTTTCTAGACTGAATCTAACATATTCTTTTAGGATAGAATTCTCAATTAGAAACTCTACGAAATTATGTATTTCACTCTTCAAATAAAAATAACTATGCTTTTCCAAATAATTCAAACTAACAATTGTAAATATTTCTCAACAAATTCATGATGAAATAAAATAATTGAAAATTGGATATGAAAATAAAATAAAACAGATATTAAATGCACTGAGTACTCCAATGATTGTTTTACTATGCACTTTTGTAATTTGAAGTCATTATTAATTGATGAAACTTTCTTCTTCGGCAAATTTACATTTTCAATACAATTATGCTTTATTTGAGTAGTAGAAGATCTTCTTAACATATATATATATATTTATACTAATCTAACAATTCTTAATTTGAAAGGAAATTAGATGCTGATTACAGCATTTATTATAACAGATTAATAAAATGAATCGAACACTCTACATAAATCGCTAACGATTATAATTGTTCAATCTCAATGTTAATAGATGGAAGCATTTGCGAATTGCCTAACAATTGATATAAGTACTAATTTAAAAGAACTCAATCGTATATATCCACTGAATTGCATGATAGAGAACATTCATTTAGCACTTAAATTATGTAAACAACTTGATCATATTAAAAAAAAAGAAAATTATTCAAAACTTACCTTGTTTTTCGAAATGAACTATGAACAATCACTTAAATAGAATCAATATCAAATAAACGTTGTATTGATGACAGTATTGTGATCGGATATATGTCTAGTTTGATAGATTGCCAATATCTTGTTAGTTATTCTCTATCGTAAATTGTAAGAATGATACAAGTATTGTGTCGATGTTAGACAATGATTAATGTTTCTCTTGTCTGTCTTTCATATGATTTTCAAGAAAAGAAATAAGATACAACATTTTCTATTAATCATATTTCTTTTTTGTATCATTTATAATAATTTTCTTTTGAAGCATCCACTACGCCAATTCTTTTGTGGAGTATCATATATTCTTTTATATTTATGAACAATTATTATTCCATGAAAAAGTATCATAATAATTTAAGAGATTATTTCCGATAAAGAATTCGTCAAAGTAATTCAATAATAAATATTTCTTAAAATATATTTTAGCATATTATTGTGTAATGTTGATTCGAGTGTCGGATTATTATTAGTATTCAAAACTAATCCTAAAGCTTTGGTATCATGTGACATTTGCATTATTTTTTATTCTAATAAATATGCTACCTGTAGTCAAACCTATGACATCTTTTTATTCAACATATTTCAGTGACGAGATCAAGAGTTTTTGTAATCAGAAGTATCATTCTGAAGATAGAATAACAGTGCTCTGTTATTGAGAAATTTCGAACTTGAAATCTCAGAAATCTAGTCACAGTAGTAATTAAAAAATAATGTTAATTCAATGTAGGTATGCACCAGTCCGAGTTTTGAATTGATCGATTGCTCGCAAGTGTATGTGGATTTCCAATTCCACTGGACATGTAGTCAAGTGATTGAATAGTGTGTGGTTTTCTTTTTTCAATCCATTATAATTATCTTGGTCAAATGCTAATAAAAATAATCAGTAAGTAATATGATTTTGAACCGATCTACTATTAAAACAAGAATAGTAAGTCAATTCAAAATCACATTACTTATGGATGATTTAGCAGCATTTAGAATGTCGACAACTAGAATGGATACAAAAAAAGAAAAAGAACTGACCACTCAATCACATATCGATCACTTAACTTGATGTCTGGTTGGACTAGGACCAAGGTAGCTGAGACTGATACATATCTAATTAAATAGTAATGCCTTACTATTAAAGAATTCAAATATCAATTCATATGAAAGCATTAGAATCAGTATTAAATTATACTCATGCTAACATTAATACAATACTTCTAATGCTGATCAATAATTTATAAAAATGTTCAAAAGAATTTAAAATTATCATTTATATGATCAACGATTGAAATCCATGAAAATCAATATTATCATTATTATTATTATCATAAGCATTTTAGGGTAATCTAAGACAAAATTAAAATCGTTTATAAATAAAAATATTTCTTATATTCGCATAAAAGATCTATCAAAGTAAATAAAAAAGAGCGCATCGAAAAAATCTGAATAAAAACTGATGATTATAATTTTTTACGAAGTTGAGAAAGATAACGTTGATATTTTTGTATTTTATGTTGATTTGGTCTGTATGTTTGTCGTAAGATTTCAATAGCTCGTGTAATATGATATATAGCTTCTTCATATCTTTTTAAACCTTCTAAT